GAACCCTTCGAATGTATGAGCGTAAAATTGTGCAAGAATGGTACATGGCTTGTGGAGGCTGGGAAAAAAGTTAAAATTTGCCGAATTCTACGTGATACATGGTTTGTAACATTGGACAAAGAATTGCAGTCATTCGGTAAGACAACAGTCGACTTCGAAGGAATACTACATGACAGAGATACTTTGAAGTAAGAGGCTGCAAAGTGCAAACACCTGCAAAGTTATACTTATTAAATGAAGCATAGTGAGAAGTCGGTAAACTAACTAGGTAGGGTCTGGTGGGGCAAGAGTGCCACCTTAACAATTGTACCTTCTATATATGCCAAATAGTGGATATTTATAGGAGTTTCTACACCGTATTGCATGTTCATATTATTGCCTTTATACATTTCTGTTTTACTGCAAATTAAATCTCGTCAAAAGTTGTTTACGATTTTTTCAAAATGTTACCTCAATTCTTTCTTTTTTTAAACTGGAATGAGGCAAGAGTGCCACTTCCTATGGGGCAAAAGGGCCATGCGTCTTAAATTGAGTTAAATCTATCAATGTTTGTTCATAAACATAGCCTTTTGATTATTAATCACGCTAGCAACAGCTGTTATTGTTTACTCGATTTAACTATTGAATTTTTCAATATTAATCAATACATAACAAATGAACTACCACGAACTACGTTTACCAATGAATTCAAATGTGTTGTTGATATTTTATGTAGCTGCCAAATATGGGAAGAACAACCTTTAAAAACTTTAATGCACAATTATTCAATTTCCTTGACATTTTTGTATAATGTTATTTAAAAATATATTGGGCCTCGAGGGTATTCAAAAGTCGCTCTCTGGCGGCGTCATTATCCGTACATTGCCAAACTGCGTGATCGATGTCATCGTAACCTTTTCTACACCGACCGATGTTGCTGTCCACGAGGTTTATTCTATTGAGATGAGCATCTAGCGAGTAGTACTTGGACATAAGTCTACTCATCACGCGAATGAAGTTACGACTTTAGTCCAATACCACGCTCGAAGAAACATTAGGAATATTTTAATGTAACCACCGTCCAAGATTTCCATTGTCCCAATCGGTTTGCCAACTCGAAAGGGTACTCTGACGCATTAAATAGTAAAATTCATCGTGTGAAACTTGCCTGTCATAAAATTCGCCTTCCTCCGCGCCCACCTTTGCGAGAGAGTCCGCCTTCTCATTGCCTAGGATTGAGCAATGTGAGGGGACCCATACAAAGGTAATCATATATGATCTTTCGACCAGCACACTCATCTGCTCCCTTACCTTTGATAGGAAATAAGATGAGTGCCTACCTTGTTTCATCGACCGAATAGCCTCGATCGAACTGAGACTATCCGAGAAGATGAAGTAATGGTCTGCGGGCATGTTGGAAATCATCCCCAATGCGAAGTTGATTGCTGCCAGCTCAGCAACATTAACGGAACAAGGTTCCTGAAGTTTGCGGAAGGCGCTAGAGTTTTCATTGAAGACACCGAAGCCAGTGGATCCATTGAGACCAGTCTGTAAAATATCTTTTCACGCAATTGACGTGTTGGTACTTTTCAGTAAACAATACGCGGGATAATAATAGGTCAAAGTTGATCGAGAATCCCATGAGTTGCTTTTTTCATGGACAGATCATATTCAATTGAGGAACTGCGATTGGTGAAGTGAGCACGGTCTGGAGTGTAACAAGGAAGGCACATATTTGACGATATGTAGTGGTGGTAGATTCTCATAAATCGAGATTGTGTGTTCAGCCCAAGAATTTCTTCGAAATTTGCTTTCGTCACTCCGCATTTGATTAGTATTCTGAGAGAGAGAGAGCTCCCAGAAACGGTTCTGGAGGGGTGTTACTCCTGCCAGAACCTTGAGACTCATGTTATGCGTTGAGTGCATACAGCCGAGAGCAATACGCAGACAACGATATTGATGATAATAAGTGGTGTAGTGGTAAGCGTGATTACCTCTCACCCCAGCAGGCCTGGGTTCAATCCCAGTCGGCGCCGCCGGGATGTTCTGAGGCATAACATCTCTGATCACGCCTTCCTTCGGATGGGAAGTAAAGCCGTTGGTCCCCGGTTCATGAGTTGATGGATCGATAGGTAGGGTCCAGGTGTGGGAGCTGCCTCCCTGGCGTCGGTAGCATTGGTGCTCAGCACGGAAAACAAGATCGACGGAAAACAAGATCGACGGAAAACAAATCAAAGGAAAAAAAATAATAATGGAAAATCATTATTTTTATATTGAGACGGCTGAGGAAGTGCTGCTTCTTTTCCTCTCCGTCCCTTTCCTTTTTCTCTTTTAATGAAGCGAGAGATGGCGCTATAAACATATGCCATACAGGGTTGTATACCAAGAGTTAGTGCTCAGGTCAGAACCGCTAAAAGAAAATGGAGCATCATTTGAACACCAGTCTAAAAAAAGTAGAAGGGTCTGTGCCTAGGGGCACGAACGGAAGCTTGACGTAGGACCGCTAGTGGACGGAACAAATGTGAAGAGCATTTAGTTCTGTTATTGATCAATTATCTATTATCTCAACTCTTTCCGTTTTTGAATTGTAGTCGTACCAAATTTGTAGTATTTTTTTTTTCAAAGGGAAAGTTGATTAAGAGAATCAATCAAAATCACTTGCACCCCTGCTTCCAAGTTTGGTTACAAGATTATAACTCTGGAGAGCATTGTGTGGTCGTTGGGGGCTTGTGGTTCTGAATATGGACAAACAAGCACAGATAAATTCTATTCCAACTCTTTACTGATGTAAGTTTGATGGCCCTGAAAAGGACCGTTTTATTGAAGAGGACATCCATAGCCACTTACGCTTGGCGTGTTTAGTGTAGGTGACAGCATCACGGACCTCATTTTCCAGGAACACCTTGAGCACACCTCGTAGATCAGACCGGATATACGTTTGACACCACCACGGCGAGCCAGACGACCGATGGCGGTTATCTCGAAGAACTTTGCGATGACGCTTGGCGCCTCCTTTACCAGACCTTTTCCTCCTTTGCCACGACCAGTCAATTGTTGCTTGTTAGGTGTGAAGGAGTGGACTAGCCACCACTACTGCTGTTGCTGTTCACCACGCCGTCCGAAGCGAAAATGAGCTAATGCCATACAGCAGCGCTCTTTTATATCTTTTCAGGTTAAAGCAGAATTATGTGCAACCAAGTGATATAAAAGCTACAAAGACTCCTCCCATTATGAGTAGTTTGCTATCAAGTAGCGACACTGGTTCTTTTCCTTTTGCGTACACGGCGAGTGTGCAAAATATTACGCAATTCCATCCTCCCTATTCGCACGCGCCCGAGGATCGAAGGCGAATGCCACTTCGGCTTGTTTCGTCTACTTACTACTCTCTGACGACTGTGCTGGGGAAGCAGCATATGCATGTAGGTAATTGGTGGATTTGTTAGTTAATTCGACGCTTTTGGACAATGCTGGACATTTACCAATTTTTCAATAGTTTCTTGTTGAAAATCAACATTCGAAAGCATTGTTATCGATACGTAGCCATATTTCTGATCGATTGGTGATAAAATTATTTAAATTGAACCAGGGGCAGCTAAGTTATTAACGTTCAAAATCTTTCTTAATTTGTTACATGTTCCATTTTCGGTTTTCACAAAGTGTACCCCCATATAGAAATCAAAGACGTAGCCCTACGTCAAAACTAGATGCTCTCAACGACCAATCATTTATAAATAACAATGAGGCCTTTTCTGTGCCACGAGTGAGGTGAGGTGACTCGCTGTCACTAGTGAGGTGATAATATGCACCGCGAGTGAGGTGACTCTCCATTTCATTTGCACGGAGGAGAGTCACCTCACTCGCGGTGACTTTTTTCACTTCACTAGTGACTGCAAGTTACCTCACCTCATTCGCGGCGCATAATAAGGGGGAACGTACTGTACGAGATATCCACGTTTCATCCATTTATTGGAATCTGAAGCATCGTGTTTTTATCTTTGATTTTAACAGGCCCGATGTTTCTGAATCAAGTTGCTCCTTAAAGGCTTCCCAGTAGGCCTGGCCGTTTCGATAAATTTTGCGCATCTACACACTTAGATTTTTTTACCGAGATGGGCACCACCAAGCAGCTCGGCAATCTATTTTGCGGGATCTCAGTGATAAATTTGCCGAGATTCAGTTAACAAACGGAAATTTTACCAAGATCTCGGCTAACAAACATAAATTTTGCTGAGATCTCAGTAACAATAAATGCCGAGCCTGCTCGGTGGTGCCAATCTCGGCAAAAACATCTAAGTGTGTATGATGTGCAAAATATCCCAAATATGTAGACAAGAAAAATTATGGAGGTCTGGCTAATATTTTCCAGGATACTTTCATGGCCTGGCTGAGTTGGTGTCAGATTAGATAAGATTAGATTTGCGACCATTTTGGGTGCTCAAAGTCGCGTTGGCGACATTCTCCCTGGCCAAAATCTGCCGTGAGCCAAAACCTATCGCATGAAAATTGTTCAAAACGTATCACATGTTGTTCAATGCAACGGTAATGATGGTTGGCTTTTTAAAACCAGCATTGGGGCTACATTGGGCCTGTTGATGTTGACAATGAAAACAAAATCTAGTAGATGATTCATCTTGCTCCACCTTACCCTACCTATCGTGAAACATAGTATTCTGGCACTCCTGTTAGCGACACACAAGAATAATAGTTAACTCTTTCATTGATATAGAAAAATGTCCATTGCAAGCATGAGCAATTCAGACCCGCAATGCGTTGATGCGACACTTTTGCACATTACACTTGACTCTACAAAAGTTCCTGATCAAGATGAAATTAACGATGTACCAACAGCAACAACACCGCAGAGGTAAGCAAACTATGCCTAATACCTATTTTATTATATTGATGACCCACAATCCACAAACCCACAAAAAATTTATTATATTGATGACCCACAATCTTTGATATTTCATGCTGATACCAAAATTATGTTTACCTGGAAACAATCTACAAATCGTTCCAAGCTCAACACCTTTGCTTTCGGAAAATTCTAAAAACTTGCAACCATGCACTACAAGGAAATCTCATCAGCGGCATTCTAACATCGACAAGAAAACTAAACTTGATTTTAAACATATGAAACGTGCAATAGAAGACTGCAGCAAGACCCGGCGCTGCAAGGTATGAATGCTACTTATAACCTAATATTAAAAAATAGTTAGAAACTAATGCTTTTTTTTCCAAGAATCCTCGCTTCGATATTATCCCACTGATGCAGATACGTTATCCCTTTGATATTGCGATGACGATTTTACAACACCCTGTCAGAAACATGCGATCGTCACTGCTCCCTAGTCTGTTCACACGCAACGCCCGAAAACGAAACATGGATATCGAGGACATTCTACAGGAACAGTGGTACGGTGATTTAGAGATAAAGAAACGAAAAATATCCAGAAAAGAACCGGCACTTACTCGACCAATTGAACGACCATTACCGCCTAAAAGCCCCATCGATTCAGGGATCAGAATTCATTTGGACCTCAACGCAATCCAAAACCAAGAAATCGAAGTCATTCAAGCAGTACAGGAGCTTGCAATCAATGAACAGATCAGTGCCAACGATATTTCACTGGTGAACGAGTCTACAATAGCGTGCATTGCGCAAGAAGTGCAAGAGTTCAATGAAACGATAGTGATAGATCTCTTATCACGACTGTGGAATAAGAATGAATGTCCAGCGTCTATGAAGTTTGTCGAGAACTTGTTTTCAAGTAGACTGGCTGCAGCTTCTTTCTTTTCAACTATTTTAGGTGAGTAGCATTTTTATTCAAAAAATTCCTAGCGACATAAATTATACTATTCACATATTGTTTAACATTTCAGTTCTGATTGCTAAACAAATGGTACGGGTAAGCAAGAACGAAAGGAATGAAATCGTCGATATACAACTACAATCGCAATATAACTAAACAGTTACTTTTTGGACTGTCATCGGTAGCAGAGCTAAATCAATGTGTAATGTACGGTAAACTAAACACGGTTTATTGAATAGATTTGGTCAAAACTGGTTCACAATGAAATTGAGTGAAAATAAATTACGTGAACGAATGTAAAAACCTCTCTCATTAACCATACCTTCTTACAAACCGATGGACTGCGCCAACCCAGAATATACATGCAATGTAACGAACCCGATGCAGGCAGTGACGAGAGCCTTCAGAGCAAGTCCGAACCAGGGTCCAGTGGACAGAGCTTGAAGGGTTCCTTCAAGCCAAACCCCACGGAACGAAATGGTAACAAGCAGCACAATAACCAATGGAACAAACTTCTTGTCGAGATCGTGACGAGAGAACAGCCACAGCAATGTGGCAGTGGTTAGGTGTTGCACCAAAAGAATATTCGATTCCAGGCAGCGCTGAATGTAAATCCACGAGAATTCCGCTCCACGGGCTCCGACCCACAGCATCAAGCCACGTGATAGAATCACCTCAGCAGTGGCCCAGCCAAGTCCAGCGGTAATCAATTTGCTGTGTCCTTTTCCAGGGATTTTCGAAAGCACAAACGCCAATCCTAGTAGATCTACCAAGTCAACACTGCATCGGAGAAATTCCTGGATAAAATTAAACATTAGATCCTTCTTGAAGTCTAATCTACATATACTCTGAAACCCACCGCAATCACATTGAACTGCCCTTCTCCTGTGAAACTATCCGTGTCTGGAAAGAATGTGGCTAATACCAACATCTTACACAGTTGTGTGAAAATGTAGATTCCACCGGCTTGAATGCACTTCCAAAAGGCTCCATATTCCGATCTGTTGCATTTATGGAAGATAATTGAATTAGCCCAAAATGACCATTAACACTTTCAACAACAGAATCTATAGATTATGAATACTAACAAGCCTGAGTACTTATAGGTCATATAATATGGCACATAAACTAGTGCTATACAGTTGCCGAAATGATAAAGAGTCATTTTAGAGCAATTTTAAAACAAAATTCTCCAATTTAAGGGAATAATGTTTTCGACAATTTTTCCTCTGAAGATGATGGTGCCGCACAAGCTTAACGAACGATGATAACGAGGAGAATGACAACACCACTGACATTACATTTTCGATCTGGTCTCCCTGTGACTGAAATTAAAGAGCCTGAATTTATAAAGAGACGACATCTTATCCATTTGACAGGTCTTCTGCTCGATTGGACTGACTTTTCCTATGACTTTGACAGACAATCGATTGTTCCAATTTTGACATGTCGCCTCTTTATAAATTTAGGCTCTTTAACTGAAATGATTCAATCTAAAAACACTCCAAATTTGAGTTGAATCCACCCAGAACGGTCGAAACTGAACCTACCAAAAATTGGGTAAACTATGTTGAGTGATAATTTGACCGAGATGTGAGGTGGGGATTTTGCTTTAAACCTTGATTTAAAAATGATCACAAACTATCAGCATGAACATTATTTGTATAATAATTGTGAGCACCTCGGTAAGGATTATAGTTAGGAATACTATTTTGCAGAAAACACTTATTTTCAATATAACCACGCTTATTACCGTTATATCTGCTATGAATCCAGTATAGTTGACTACGAATTTTAACAAATTTACTATGATTCTGGCAAAACTACTATACTAGCTCAAAATGCATAGTAATTTTGATAGAAATAATAGTAAAATTAAATGAAATTGTTTTCTGCAAAAATCTATTGGTGAAGGTATTTAATTTAAACCAGCAATATAGTATATTTTTTTTTCAATTGATTTTGTTTCAGTGTACTAGTAGTACCTCCACACGGTGTTTCGTGAAAACCCATTAATGGGTAAAAATACCCATTTTCAAACCATGTATGTACACTGAAACAAAGATAATAGTTAGGAATACTATTTTGCAGAAAACACTTATTTTCAGTATAACTACGCTTAATACCGTTAAATCTACCATGATTTCAGTATAGTTGACTATAAATATAATCAAATTTACTACCATTCTGTCAAAACTACTATGCTGACTCAAACGGTATAGTAGTTTTGATAGAAAAATTAGTCAAATTAAATGAATTTCGTTTCTGCACAAATCTATTGGTGGGAGTATTTAATTTAAACCATCAATATAGTATTTTTGCCAATGGATTTTGTTTCTGTGTAGCTGTCAAAAAATGGGGGAATTCTGAAATCATAAAATGGGTGAAAAAAAAAATGCCCATTTAAAGAATCAGTTCACGGTTGAATTATGGATATATTTTTTACCCACTAATGGGTGAAAAAACACTTCGAAATTTCATCGTCTCATTTCCGTCACCGATTCATTGGGAATGCAAACAGGTTCTGTCCGCAGCATATTTAGCGATTGCAATAGACGATCTCCGAAAAATGTTAGAATCCGAACGTTGGAGAGGCTTACGGCTCGGCTTACGGATAAGTCAATACAAATAATCCAAAATGGTATTATAATCTTTCGTGTAAAATTTAAGCGGAACATCTGCATTAATTTTCAATGTATTAGAAAGTTTTTTTATATCACAAGGACAAATAACCAAGCGCTTACATCCTCTATTTGTAAAAATGGGTATTTTTCACCCATTTTACGGTAAACAAAATGTAAAAAAATGGGTCAAAAACACCCATTTATTGACAGACCACCCATTTACCCATTTATGAGTAAACCATAGTTTACCTATTAAATGAGGAGGGGCACTTTTAGCGGAAATGGGTATTTTTATACCCATTAATGGGTTTTCGCAAAACACAGTGCAGGAAAATAATTTCAATGAGTAGAGCCAATGGCTTTAGCTATCGATTTCTCGCAAATAAAAACCCATCCCTCCAAATTAACAATGCTAGCTAGTAAAGGAAACATTCCTCTACCTGTTGGTGTCATTAATCTTCATGAGTAAGCTTTTATTCACGAGAAATCGACGGCTAAAGCCAGTGTTTACAAATGCAATTACGCCCCTTTGAAATGTTGACACTGAAATGTACAAAATAAATCGCCGTAACTTTTTTTACTAACGACATCTGGTGCCAAAATCAACCGGTAATGCGTCGAAGTGCGCAGCCATACGCACTCATACAGTATTTATGTAGCTCCAGATCCAGAGGCATTGGTGCGCATGAAGAACTGTCAGTCAACAATCTGTCAATAATTTTTCATTAAAAAAATATTTTTCGATTCCACGTCATTTTCCCTGGAAAACGATTGAAAAATTGCATTTTTTAAATATTTAGCTTGATTTCACAATTTATTTTCCTTAATATTTTCCAACTGTGATTGATGCCTGCTTATTTAAACGTAACGTGAAGTAATAAAACTACCGTCATCATCAAGTTTGTTCCAGATAGAAAGCAGCTCCATTGTGATAGCCTAGAGCCTTGAATGTTTTGATTAGTGGTGATGATTATGAGATGCAATCAAGAGCTAGACGTCGTTTCGGTCCAGAGGAAGCAAATGAACCATTTTCAGTAGTTACTATCGGAAACGCAAACAATCACCAAGGGGAAGATTACGTGGAAAAACCTAAATATCCGCCAGCAAGTGGAACCAGCTGGTTACCTTCGATACCGCAGAAATTCCTCTCCAGTGTCATAAATCCCAGCTCATTCGGAAGCCAGCCAAAGCAACGGGAGCAGACAACACCTGAAAAAGCTTTTCTTCTCTTCGAAGAGGACGACAAAGAGAACGAACCAGAGTTCATCATGACGGCGCGCGATCGTAGTACAGAATTTACCAATGCGATTCGATCGCTACAGGGCAGGAACATTCAGCGAGCGGTCAATGTACGCGATCCACGGAAAGCTAAACAGCTACAAAGCTATTCTGAGTTTATGATGATTGCTAAACACATAGGAAAAAATATTGCTAGCACGTATGCTAAACTGGAAAAGTTAACACTGTGTAAGTAGCGTAGAGTTTAATAATCTATACATGCCTGAATTATGACATCATTTTAGTGGCAAAACGGAAAACCCTATTTGATGATCGACCGGCAGAGATTCAAGAGCTTACGTATATCATAAAGGGTGACTTGAATTCCTTGAATCAGCAAATAGCACGACTACAGGAAGTTTCCAAATCACAACGTAAATCTACCACAGGGAAGCACTTGCTTTCACATTCCTCAAATATGGTGGTTGCTTTACAGGCCAAGCTGGCCAATATGAGTTCCGATTTTAAGCAGGTACTGGAGGTGCGAACCGAAAATCTCAAACAGCAAAAGAATCGGCGCGATCAGGTAAAAGTGTTGGTAAAGTTTCAGTTATTGTTTAGGGATCTAGTAACACATAATCAAATTGTAGTTCAGCCAAGGGCCCATCTCTAGCAGTTTACCACCCTCGACAATGCGCGGCTCTACACAGGGTAGTTTATTGCTTCAGGAGCAACAGGACCAAATCAGTATCGATATGAATGCCTCCGGTGGATCCGCTTCGGAACGCGCTCCGCTCCTTCAGCAGCAACAGCAGATGGTGCTCTACGACGAATCCGATAGCTATGTGCAGGAACGTGCCGAAACCATGCAGAACATCGAAAGTACGATTGTTGAGCTCGGTGGAATTTTCCAACAATTGGCCCATATGGTCAAAGAGCAGGAAGAAATGGTTGAGCGAATTGATACCAACTTACAAGATGTAGAATTGAACGTAGAAGCAGCCCATGGGGAAATTTTGAAATACTTCCAATCGGTGACAAAGAACCGCTGGTTAATGATTAAGATATTTGGCATTCTAATATTGTTTTTCATATTTTTCGTTATCTTTCTTGCATAAGAGGTGCAGAAGTATAGAATTATGGACCTGTATGGAGAGTATCTTTATTATAATACATTTATTTTTTTAATCGTCGAAATTTTCCAACAGGTTCAATCTGACGGCAAAAGGTAAACGGCTTGTATGCCAGATTAGCAATACGATTATGTTTGTTAATGTAAATATCGAATAAAATTATTCAGCATAAATCCAGAGTAAAGATCCGGTCGTAATTTTGTTAACACTATGTACTGTAGAATATGACAGCCTGTGTAATTGTCAATAGAATTACGGCAGTGGAGTTAATAAATATCTTTTTATCTAGAATATTGTTTGGCTTATTTGGTAATATAGTAGCAGCCGCGAGTGGTCGATCATGCTTAATATTGTTTATCTTATTTGGATAGGGATTTGCAAGAAGCGGCGCCGGTGGTGTAGTGGTAAGCGTGATTACCTCTCACCCCACCGGGCCCGGGTTCAATCCCAGTCGGCGCCGCCAGGATGTTCTGAGGTATAACATCTCTGATCACGCTTTCCTTCGGAAGGGAAGTAAAGCCGTTGGTCCCCGGTTCATGAGTTGATGGGTCGATTGGTAGGGTCCAGGTGTGAGAGCTGCCTCCCTGGCGTCGGTAGCATTGGTGCTCAGCACGGAAAACAAACCAAGGGAGAGGGATTTGCAAGAACGAATTTCACCTTAAAAAAATCATTCTCTTATTCTGTCTGCAGAGGCGCATCCACGCTCAGATATATGGGTAGGACAAATCATGGACAAAGGAAAATTCTTGCAATCTACTAATTTTTTACAAGAAATAAAATGTTAGCTTAACACGTTATATCTATAATTATCACCCTTGTCCTCTATTGATAATCATTCATAATAGTAGTAAGCTCCAACCGGTATTACCTCGGATTTAATCCCGATCAAGAATGTCCGGCTGCTTTGATGTCAGAGTTAATCAACACGACTCTAAGCAAACATTTTGCAAATCATTCAAACGGTCGGTTTTAAAAGTTAATCCGAGTTACAGCTTACCAGTGATTCAGTCTACCTTGATGGATTATTGTAACTAGTTCAGAATTTCGTATTTTTATTATCGTTGGTGAAAAAGATCTTTCAGCAGAACACGTTGCTGGGAAAAGTAACACCCACATAGCAAATAACCATAAAAGTGTCTAACCACCTATTCGGGCATCACTCCAACTTTATGTGATATGGTTGCATCATTTCTAATATAGTTCGTGTATGATACTGTATAATATTAGGACAGTAACTTAAGAAAAGAAAAACATTACCATAAACAGAAACCATGCTTTTGTTTAACTGAAGCGTTCTTACATACATAAGCTATTACCAACACTATTACATGATAGTACCAGAGGTGAGCCAAACAGTTGAGCACGTTTCTTCGGGACCTACTTGTCTTAGAGTTACCTCTATGCTACTACTTGCTACTACTAGATTGTACTAGCATTTTCACCAAATGTATTAGAATGTTTTGGTTCTATCTCTTTCACTCTACTCAAAACTGGAATGCATAAAAAAATGACAAAATGATACACTCTTTGCACACTGTCAAAGAATCATTGTACACAAAATCAACTTTGTTCAAATCAAAACAAAAAAACTAACCCATCTGGTGGATGATGGCACAAGCTTCCAAGAAAATTCTATTACAGTGAACCACATTATTTTAATGGATTTCTTCGCCAGTTAGTCGTCTGTCACTTCGTTTGTGCTATTACTTCGTCTAGAGCCTCCATTTTTACCCAGACAGCCTGTTGTTCTGTATCAATGCTCTCCAGTTTGAAAGACATTTTCATCCTGGTCAGCATCAGAGACGTTGAATAGAGACACGCATAGACTGAAGCAAGAAGAACCAAACGAACCGTCAAACGCTGAACCATACAAGCAAAGTAAATAAACATTACTGTTCACTCAATTCATCCGACAGACATACAAAGTTCACTGTTGTACGTTGGTTGTACCATAGAGGTAACTCTAAGACTAGAAGGTCAAGAAATAACGTGCTCAACTTTTTGGCACAGCTCTGGTACCATAGAGGTAACTCTAAGACAAGTAGGTCCCGAAGCAGTGATGGAATTCTCACCAAAATATCATTTTCGCTTGCGATACATTTTCTCTTGGGAACTTTCCCTCACTAGTTTCACACTCTAATATTTCCTGAGCGAACTTTCTGGGATGAGAGAATGAGATATCGCGAACTTTTTTAACTCGAATCACCAACGTGAGGATACGAAAAATATCAGATCATTTTTTCTCTCTATCTCTTTACACCACATTCGTTCTTGAAAATTGCACTGCACATTTCACAAGGGAAAGATTATAGACAGAAAGCTATCCCGAGTAAATCAATACAATCTCTAAAGACTGATAAGTCTGGTACCTGGCTGTCTACTGGCGCCTGTTGTTTAAAGGAGCCGTTATCAGGATGATGTGAACAGTTTTGTGCAACTGATTGATTGGTGCATTGGTTTCTGGAAAAAAAAATGAATGAATCAGCACAAGTGTCAACGCGACATTAACGAGGAACGGGGAGGGTAGTGTAAGATTTTGTGACTAGCAATTTTTATATTAAAACCGTTCCTCAGGATAGGGGGTTGCGGAAGGAGGAGCGCCTAATGTATCCTCATTTTCACGAAATACAGTTAATGCATGGCTCCTCTCATCACTAGTGTTCGTAATATCGTTCCTGTAAGCTCTTATGCAATAATTATATGCAGGGGGATGGTTGGGAATATAGGTGGTGGTGAACTTTTTCACTGTGCTTTTACCAGTGCTGTAAATTCTCAAAATCATTTGAACATTTTTGATGAAAATGAGAAAAGTAGCTATTCGCTATCAAAGGGGACCTCCTCCGAATGGGTGATATCAGTTGCTTAGTCATTTGACGAAGGCATGGATCATTCTCATTTGAGAAACGCTATATATCATTCGATTGAGTGTAACCTACACACAAACGGAGCTCTGGTCGACATTCCGGCGAAAAAGCTAAGCCAACCCGACACCAACCTGACTTCTATCAAACCCCAACCCGATGTTGACCCGACATTGACCCGACATAAACCCAAAATTGACCCGACATTAACACGACATTGGGTCGACATCGACCTTAAATTAGCCTTACATTGATCCGACATCGGGTCGACTTGTCTGTTCGGGACCATTTTCCTGGATTTCTTCCAACTCCACTGTCGTATATCAAATGATACTGAGTGACTCAATTGACAGTGACAATGAGCTTCGAATGAGAAAGGGGCTCTTCAAATTATGGTCATGTGAGAATTCGTTTACACAGAATTGATTGAATGGTTGTAGCAACAATCAATACGAAACTAACGATTTTAAATTGGCTCACCACTTTAGTAGCCTATTGGTCCCGAGCAAACGATTAACGTATCCTATTCTAGTTGAAATTCTATTACTACACTATGTTGATTCGCTATGAAAGTTTGACAGATAACATCAGGGGTGTGTGGATTCATGCAGAACATGCAGGGGTGAGTGAAATAGCTTGGGACTGCTTGGGACCGTTGTTCTGGTACTGAGTGAGCCAAAAATAATAATGATTTTCTTCGGGACCCAGTGGTCTTAGAGTTACCTCTATGGTTGTAGTGGTTCATCTTCAATCGAATGATATGAAAATTTACAGCACTGGTTACAAGTATCTACTATTAGCTGGTTGCATTGAGAACTAAAACTATAAATAAATCCGGAAAACTTTGAGATTAGGGCGTAATTTCTTTTGTAAACACACACTTAATTCGCCGATTTCTCGTGAATTAAAGTTCAATCTAAAAAACTAACAACACAGACAGGTAGAGGAATGATTCATTTGGTATAGTATAGTTCGCTAGATTGTGCTTTGATTCGTGAGAAATCGCTGAATGACGTGTTTGTTTACAAAAGCAATTACGCCCAAATCTCAAAGTTCTCTGGAAATGGTATTTAATGTGAAGGATGCGAAAAATATCGGAGAACGAGAAGAAAACAAACAGACCTTTACTCGCTGGAAAAAAAGAACAAAGCTGAGGGGATATTTGGTTGGTTCGAATCACGAGTACGTGTGAAATGATGTGAGATGGAGGGACGAAAGATCTTTCGCGATACGAAATGAAAATTTCTCTCGCTCTACGCTTTCATGAACTTTTTTTCATCTTTCGTTCGCGAACTTTTTGTGAGAAGTTCCTTTGGGATTTATCTCTGCAATGAGCTGTGATAGAACTTTTTTTGAAAATGATTTTTCCAACACTGTCCCGAAGAAACGTGCTCAACTTTTTGGCTCACCTCTGGTACTATCTTCGGTCCCAAGCTTGTCGAATCACCCCTCGAAACATAGGAAAAACCAATAACCCCTCATTTTATCTGTCAAACATTCATAGCGAATCAAAACAAACATTGTGTAGTACTAGAATTTCGACTAGAATAGGGTACGTTAATCGTTTGCTTGGGACCAATAGGCTACTAAAGTGGTGAGCCAATTTAAAATCGTTAGTTTCGTATTGATTGTTGCTTCTACCATAGAGATAACTCTAAGACCAGAAGGTCCCGAAGAAACGTGCTCAACTTTTTGGCTCAGCTCTGGTACTATCTTCGGTCCCAACCTAATCGATTCACCCCTCGAAACTTGGGAAAAACCAATAACCCCTCATTTTATCTGTCAAACTTTCATAGCGAATCAAAACAAACATTGTGTAGTAGTAGAATTTCGACTAGAATAGGATACGTTAATCGTTTACTTGGGACCAATAGGCTAGTCAAGTAGTGAGCCAATTTATAATCGTTAGTTAGAAGTTGAGCTCGTTTCTTCGGGACCTTCTGGTCTTAGAGTTACCTCTATGGTAGTACCGCCACCTGTGGCGCGCATAGTCAATTCCCTTGCGTTTGACGTTCACACACTACCGCCATCTGTTCAGCGTACTACCAACAATCAATACGAAACTAACGATTTTAAATTGGCTCACCACTTTAGTAGCCTATTGGTCCCAAGCAAACGATTAACGTACCCTATTCTAGTTGAAATTCTATTACTACACTATGTTTGTTTTGATTCGCTATGAAAGTTTGACAGATAACATCAGGGGTGTGTGGATTCATGCAGAACATGCAGGGGTGAGTGAAATAGCTTGGGACTGCTTGGGACCGTTGTTCTGGTACTGAGTGAGCCAAAAATAATAATGATTTTCTTCGGGACCTACTAGTCTTAGAGTTACCTCTATGGTACTACCAACAATCAATACGAAACTAACGATTTTAAATTGGCTCACCACTTTAGTAGCCTATTGGTCCCAAGCAAACGATTAACGTACCCTATTCTAGTTGAAATTCTATTACTACACTATGTTTGTTTTGATTCGCTATGAAAGTTTGACAGATAACATCAGGGGTGTGTGGATTCATGCAGAACATGCAGGGGTGAGTGAAATAGCTTGGGACCGTTGTTCTGGTACTGAGTGAGCCAAAAATAATAATGATTTTCTTCGGGACCCAGTGGTCTTAGAGTTACCTCTATGGTACTACCACAAACGAAGTGACAGACGACTAACTGGCAAAGAAATCCATTTAAATAATGTGGTTCACTGTAATAGAATTTTCTTGGAAGCTTATGCCATCATCCACCAGATGGGTTAGTTTTTTTGTTTTGATTTGAACAAAGTTGATTTTGTGTACAATGATTCTTTGACAGTGTGCAAAGAGTGCGTATCATTTTGTCATTTTTTTATGCATTTCAGTTTTGAGTAGAGTGAAAGAGATAGAACCTAAACATTCCAGTACATTTGGTGAAAATGCTAGTTCAATCCAGTACACAGCAAAAAAAGTTGTTGAATATTACATCGAAACTGATGCAACCAGGTCAATCCATCGGTTGTGTAATATCACATTGTACGATGTACATCGATTTTGCGAACAAAATTACATCCATTGATGTAATATTGTATCTACTTTTTGCTATTACATCATTATTTCATACATCAGCTTGAATTACGTTGATCGATATTACATTTTTTTTTGCTGTGTAGTAGTGTTGCCATGTGGTTCAATCCAGTAGTAGTGGTGTTGCCATGTGGTACACTGAAAAATTGCAATAGCAGGTTAGTCACCAAAGTTTTCGAGCCGCTCCGTCTGTCACTACGTTTGTGGTACTACCCACCACAGTGTACTCAACAGATGGCGGTAATGTTTTTGCGACGATGTTTTACAGTGAGAAATATTCAACGTGTTATGTCTGTTTGTCTGTGGAATTTCTAAAGCTGAAACAAAGACCATAGTTAGGAATACTATTTTGCAGAAAACACTTATTTTCAGTATAACTACGCTTAATGCCGTTAAATCTACCATGATTTCAGTATAGTTGACTAAAAATATAATCAAATTTACTACCAATCTGTCAAAACTACTATGCTTACTCAAACGGCATAGTAGTTTTGATAGAAACAATAGTAAAATTAAATGAATTTCGTTTCTGCACAAATCTATTGGTGGAAGTATTTAATTTAAACCATCAATATAGTATTTTTGCCAATGGATTTTGTTTCTGTGTGATATTCAGGTAAAAATCATTGTTTTTGTTTTTAGAAAAATACTATGTGCGTTCCTAATAGAAACTAAGTGAAAACTTTTTTCAGTGTGTCCACTAAAAATGTTGGTGAAATTGACCGTATATTCACGTAAACAGATTTAGTGTATTTGTGTTTGTGTGTTTGGGACTTCGATATTTCCGTGAAACGAGATTTACGTGATTTACAGGTACGCAAAAAAATCAAAGATGGCGTCACCGAGCGTGGTGGAAGAACTCCTCAAAGTTTCAAAATTCCTCAGCGCGTGTTTCAAATGTTGGACGGCAATTAGATTCTTTTATATTAATTTATTTATGATTATATGTAGCCTTTTTCTAGTTTTATAATTTCAGACGGTGACATCAGCATTTTGAGTCTGCAACAATTGTTAATATTTTGTCAGAAATAAAAAAAAAACTCATACACGTTTCTACCTTATAATAATCAATTAGTCAATATTTCACAATTTTATGAATAGATATAAGTATTAATTTAAACACGTGAAATTTATATCTTCCCGATAAAATTGCATAATACACAGCAAAAAAAGTTGTTGAATATTACATCGAAACTGCTGCAACCAGGTCAATCCATCGGTTGTGTAATATCACATTGTACGATGTACATCGATTTTGCGAACAAAATTACATCCATTGATGTAATATTGTATCTGCTTTTTGCTATTACATCATTATTTCATACAATTATCAGTGAATTACGTTGATCGATATTACATTTTTTTTGCTGTGTATTGGCTGGTTCTATATATACTTCCGATTATTCTTATTAAAAATTCACATACAAATTACATGAAAAGCATTTTAAACCAAACGGAATGTCACGTAAAAGTTACCAGATGTCCAGTAGAGTTCACCCCCATTTCACGTAAGCAGTACGTGGAAATCAGGTCTTATTTACCTGACTAATCACGTAGATAATTGAAGCTGAATTTTGATCGGCTACGTGCAATTCCGGTAAAAGTTACGTGAAAAATAGGGTGGACGAAAACCACCTATGTTTTCACGTCAATAGGACGTGAAGATTTTTCAGAGTGTAGTGCAGAACTTTGGGTAAATTAAAAGCACAGACAAACAGACATAACACTCGCAAGTTGTTCATCAAACAAGCATTTAACGGATAATTTAATAGTATCGTAGTTGGTAGTACCACCACCTGTGGAGCGCATAGTCAATTTCCTTGCGTTTGACGTTTACACACTACCGCCATCTGTTCAGTGTAGTGCTCACTACAGTGTACTCAACAGATGGCGTTAATGTTTTAGCGACGATGTTTTACAGTGAGAAATATTCAATATGTTATGTCTGTAGGTCTGTGTTAAAAGTATTAGTTTGTCTGTGATTTAATTTTCCGTTCTCAGCATATTCATCTTTCGTATAGTTTGCCGCTCTGTTACGGCCTTAAACTTCTCTTATACCTGCTTATCCTTTGAGAACGAGAAGAAAACGAACACCTTGCGACCAGTGGCGTGCGCAAGGGGAGGCATGCCCTCCAATGATTTTGAGTTCACACCCCATGCGCCCTCCTGATGCTTTTCATCCACACAAATTACTTTTAAGCTATACAAACAATTATAAAATTAATATAAACATCCCAGACTCCCTGTTATTGCAATTCAATCCCTCAATATATTCAAAAGAGACCAATAGTCACTTAAGTCCAGCTGCTACTTCAAAATCATCCAAAAATCATCAAGTTTCTATCGACACACTAAACGCTCTGCTGTTACAGCTCAACCTCCAACACACATTCTTCAGGATATGTGTAGTGTTACTTAGCGTCCTTTTGATACTTCAAAGTCATCAAACTAATAGAACAAAATTTGATTTTATTCGTGCATTTTTTTACTATACAACGTTTGCAATTTTGGCGCTTCACAGCATTTGATGATTGCTAAAGTCTCTAGGAAAAGTTTCGGCTTTGATTGAAAACTGGTAAGATAACATGTTGTGTACCTTGTCTGTCTAAACATGGCGTTTATTTCTAAATCCACGAGGATCAATAAGTAATATACAAGTGCAAATAGTATTTGTGAAGCAGTTCGTCAATTTTTAGAACCAAGACTTTTTGTGCATCTGTTTAAACTTTGCCATGTTGATGACAATAGAATTCTTAATCTGTTCCTTATCACGATTCTGTCCATAGTAATCTACAAACTGTCCATTGGGATCCACAAGATACATAATGATTGTGTGGTCCACTATGTAATCTTCGTCTTGGTCCTTTGGACCGGCGCTAAAATACACCCGGAAAGCTTTGCATACCTTAGCTACCTGTTCCACGGTTCCCGTCAGGCCCAACAGTTTCGGGTGGAACTCCTTCACATACTTTCCGACTGCTTCTTTTGTATCTCGTTGTGGGTCAACCGTGATAAAGAGAGGTTGAATCAGTTCGGCCTCCTCCATCTTTTCCAATCCATCAACCACCGCTGCCATCTTCTCCAGTTCGTCCGGACAGATGTCGGGACAGTGTGTAAATCCAAAATAGATCAAAAGCCACTGACCAGCAAAATCTGCCGATTTGCGAATCTTTCCATCGGAATCAACCAATTCCCAGGAACCTCCGATGGCAGCTTTACCTAGTTGGCGCTTTCTTTCTTTTAACAAAGCTACAAATAACAGTTTTTAGTTAGGCACCTTGATAAACATCAAAATTTCCAGTAAATGATACCTACCTTGCTCTTTCTCATCTTTCACGTACCACATGAAACCAAGACTGCCCAAGCCCGCAGTAGCTATCAATGCAAAACTTTTCCAAGTGATTGGACCTTTGCCCTTCATCGGATCATTAGCACGGCTGGTAGCTGCCCCGCGGAGGGTAGGTCCATTTAACCAGCTTCGTGTAATGCTTTTGGGATGAAGAAAGGTTTTGGTCTGTTGCGAAACAACACGAGCAAAGAGTTTGGACATTTTTCTTGTGTTTTTGTACTAGATAATGCACTTTTTGGTGCTTCAATACTTTTGCGGCAATGTACTTATTAAAACATGCAGTTAGAAAATTTTTGGTTCGATAGGTTTCAATAATAATTTTGATAAAATTCACATTTTCTTCCGCGACCGGGCGCTCTTTCTTTCGAAAAAATTACACAAGAAAATGACAGAAGCAAATATTACTCGAGCGCGAGGGGACTCGATGAAAACATAAGTTCGGCTGCGTACGGATTGGTTTTTTTAATACAGTGGATCCGCTCTATTAGGGAGACTAACATGTAGCCACCTGCCTTTCGATTTAACAGCTAAAGACCAGAGAGTGGAAACCTTTGAAAATTACAACAAACATTCTGAAACGAATGGAATAGGGTAGGTGAATTATAAGATAACATGCGTGAAATGGACTCTGGGACACTGTATTTCAATAAAGCAACATGTATTCAGTTATTATACAAAATATCAGTTCATAATTCTTTAATGTACAACCACGAGGGTAACAATCACGAATTTCGCCGGAGCTCACATCAATGTGATGAATATAGCGGGTGAGGATGACTGCAACTAGAGTCGGTGTATGTCACGCCAAGAGAAAAACAGTTGAACTCACATCACGGTTTTCGAAAGATTCCCTTTCTTTTCACTTGGCATCAGAGGACTTCTACATCAACTTCAAATGACTTCCAGCGAGAAAAAAAATAGCGGCTGTAGTAAATCATTATATCAGTGATTTATTAAAATTATCTTAAACAAAAATAGTAGAAATTCTCATAAGTGATCATTACCAAACGTATCCCATGACAATTTATTGCTCACTGCGTGTTTATGATCATTTCTACGATTATATTTTATATTTTATTGCAATACCTTTCGTTGATCTTTCATAGGATCGTAATGTTTGTGTACTTTGCACGATAGGTAGCCGGTTTGACAGTTCAATAGGTAGACTTGGCTTCACTCTTGGCGTGACTCATTAGAGCAACCGTAACGGTCGTTGTCATTTGCGCGACTATTTTAACAGCGCACAGCGCTCTCATTTTAGTTTAATCACTCTTCTCCACACCGGTCGCTGCTATCGCGGTTATCAATTTACTCGCCGTAGTCCGTACCGGTAGTGAGCATTTTGACATTTCTACGAATAGCAACCTTTCTCCCGCGCTGCTAAATTTGGTAACGCGCTTCTCACCGAGAAGCCGACTGCTATTTTAGTTACTCGTATGGCAACCCCCGATACGGTAGCTGCGCTATGATGAGGGCTGCTAAAATGAGTTTAGCAGCGTACCGTTACGGTTGCTCTTATACACCGACTCTAACTGCAACCTGCAACCGAAGACAACAAATCAAGAAGACTGACAACTCTTCCATTTTCTCATACGAACGCTATGAGACAGGTCCAATCGCGTCATCTGCCGCACAAAGGTAAATGCTTCGAACGAATTTGATAGCAAAGATTACATCTTCAGACGAAGGATTTGTGTATTTGCTCATTTTTCTATGCGTTGCTTCCACCTTCACTCAAGCGCAGCGCTACTGTATCTGTCGCTTGGATTTTGGCAATGTTGCCAGTCTTTTTGATTTGTTGTCTTCGCTGCAACACACTACTCTTTCTAGCATTCAGTACTGCGATGCAAGTGTGATGAAAGAGTAAAGGCCGGCGCACAATAGATACGTTTTCAGGTTTTTTGACAGTTAGCCCACAGACAAACAGACATAATACTCGCAAGTTGTTCATCGAACAAGCATTTAACGGTCGATTTAAAAGTATCCTAGTTGGTAGTACCGCCACCTGTGGCGCGCATAGTCAATTCCCTTGCGTTTGACGTTTACACACTACCGCCATCTATTCAGTGTACTACCCACCACTGTGTATTCAACAGATGGCGGTAATGTTTTAGCGACGATGTTTCACAGTGAGAAATATTCAATGTGTTATGTCTGTTTGTCTGTGGTTAGCCCATGCATTATCTGTCAAAAAACCCGAAAACGTATGCATTGTGCGCCGGCCTTAAGCTTTCATGTTCTGTCGTACCAACAATCAATACGAAACTAACGATTTTAAATTGGCTCACCACTTTAGTAGCCTATTGGTCCCAAGCAAACGATTAACGTACCCTATTCTAGTTGAAATTCTATTACTACACTATGTTTGTTTTGATTCGCTATGAAAGTTTGACAGATAACATCAGGGGTGTGTGGATTCATGCAGAACATGCAGGGGTGAGTGAAATAGCTTGGGACTGCTTGGGACCGTTGTTCTGGTACTGAGTGAGCCAAAAATAATAATGATTTTCTTCGGGACCCAGTGGTCTTAGAGTTACCTCTATGGTCGTACCTCCGTCAGTTTTACCAGTTTTACCGCTTTCAGTATGTCAAAAGTGTCAGATTGTCCAAAAACGTCAAAATCATGTGAGCTATGGAGCATCTATATGTGGTTGGGATAGGGTTCCCCCAGCGTACAACTAATAATCGGACGTGTTCACTCAAAAATATTACAAAACGAATATAGATTAAATTTTATGCATTTTATGGTTTTTCAAAATTTATACATTGGTTAGATTAAAATTTTCGTCAAAATTATACTAACTCCGAATAACGGAGTGGAATTCGATCAGTGTTTACTAAAATGACAGGAAAAATAACATTTGGATTCTCTTTGCAGCTTCGTGCTGGTGAAGAGCTTTGTTCCGGCCAGGTCAAAAGTTAAAATAATCCACCAAATGGTTCAGAGCCTTAATAAGATCACTGTATCCACTCATCATTAGGAGGTCTACCCTGTAGCTTCTTCTTCTTCTTTCCTTTATTTAACGTTGGTCTCTGTTCCGCAATCTAGTGCCAATCACCGACGGACATCGATTGCCATCCATTGACGGCAATCGAATGTGCAGAAGGGCAGCTTCCACACCTGTGTAGGATATCGCATCCATTCATCAACACACATGGGCCGGGACGAACGGCTTTACTTCCCTTTCGAAGGAAAACGTGACCAGAGATTTTTATGCCTCAGAAAAATTCCCCCGACCTCGGCTGGGATTGAACCCAGACCCATCGCGGTGTTAGAAAGCAGTCACGCTTACCACTACACCACCGGTGCCGGCTACCCTGTCCCTGAAAAATAAGCTTGCTGTGTACAAACAAATCATCCTTCCCGTAATCGAGTACGGTATGCCAACCTGGGAGAGTTGCGCCAAATGCCATCACCTCAAACTCCAAAGGATCCAGAACAAGATCCTTAGGATGATCCTAAACAGTCCCCTGCGAACTAGAAATTCTGAGATCCACCTCCTGGCTGGAATTCAGACATTAGAAGAACGGAGAGTTTTATCGTGGAAAGGTTCAGAGATACCTGCTTGAGATCAACTCATCAGATCATACGTGATCTATTAATTATATTAAGGCTACACTTTTGCCTAGGGCCAGGTAATTTGCTTGCCGCTCGACAGAAGACATCGAACGAAAACCGTCCTTTTCAGGGCGACAAAAATAATTCCCCTTAAACCAACCACATCACCAAAACGGTCCCATTGAGGGCCATAAAACATCAAAACGGCTCTTTTCAGGGCCACCAAATTTTCAAAGAAAGAGTTAGTTTGAAACATGAACTGAAAAAGTCGACAGAGAGCATGCATAAGGGCCTATACGCGATGATCGATTCTCTTCGTCGATTTTCTCTTTTGTTAATAACTCGCTAGATTTAACGTTTCTCGGTGCTTTTGCTGTTTCTTTTGACAGCCAATACAACCTGTTACTACTCTGCATTGAACAAATTCTAGAAAATTGTTTCGCTTAGCTGTAGCAATGCAAAGAGAAAATCGATGAAGAGAATCGATCATCGCGTATTCGCCCTTATGCATGCTCACTGTCGAAGTATCTTATTAGTAATAAACGGAAAATTGACACTGATCAATTCAGTGCCAACATTTCAAAGGGGCGTAGTTGCATTTGTAAACAATGGCTTTAGCCGTCGATATCTCGTGAAAATTCATGACACCAACAGGTAGAGGAATGTTTCCTCTACCAGTTAGCAATGGTAATTTGGAAGGGTGAGCTTTTTTAGCGAGAAATCGACGGCTAAAGTCATTGTTTACAAATGCAATTACGCCTCTTTGAAATGTTGACACTGAATTATTACACTTCGGAAGTAATCAGCGGTTGTCATAATAATATCAGGAATTTTAAATAACGTTCGATCAAAATAGTTAACATATGTGAGCGTAGTCCTACGTCAACTGTTCGTACAACCCCATTGGGCTGTCCCTTGTGGTTTTTTTTAATTAAATTCGATATATTTAGACTCTATGGCAAAACTTTTTTGCATTTCCAAACACTTAAAAAAAATTTCATTACGAATTGTGATATGAAGAAAAGTTCAGGAGGGATCCGTAGACTATTTACACATGATGGATTTTTATTTCATACACATCTCTAATTGTTGTTCACAAATGTTGGCTGGACTGGGTGTTTCTTTTTATTAGATTTTTTATTTCAATATTTCTTTAATTCAGGTATATTTGCTCCAGTCTTGGTAAAACAACGATTTTACTTGTGGTTTGAATTACTATTTTTTATATATGTCGAACGGACAAGCGACTATCCATTTTACCAAACAATAAGGATCAATGGATTCTCGTGTGATTTAGGTTATCCGAAGAAATCTACGACTATCAACTACAGATCCGATTTCAAGTGTTTCCTTTGCGTATAACATCTGAACGTTATTTGAAAAGTCTTGTAGGTACCACTTGAACACCATCATGATCAAAATATAAGCAAAAAGAACGTCAAAAAAGGTTTAACAAAATTTTGCTAGATTCTTATTTTTATAAGATCTCATTTTTCTTCTAAATGTGAAAAATCGTTTTAAATGAGAGAGAATAAACCGTCCACTAAACACTTCTAAATAAATCAAAAATAAGCAGTAAAACGCAAACACTATTCCAGGCTGTTTATACCTTTACGGATTGGAGTAGTTTCATGAAATTTTATGAGCATGAGTGGATGAACAGTTTGTTTTTTTTTTATTTTGCCTAGAACCATATAGAACAATAATGAAATTTTTACTTTTTGTGTTTTAACAGATTTATTTTGTTTCTACGGTCGATACTATTTTCCACGGATTTGTTTAGATAGCTACGAAGAGTATTCCAGCAACTGATCAAGCCAGGTAGCTGTAGGTGTCTTTCTGTCCTTCCTGACGCTCGAGATATTCCTTTTCGATCAAGATATCGATACATTTCTGTGTAAATATTGCGAACAAAAAAAAAACTTCAGATACTGCGACATATTGAAACAATGGAAAATGTACATACCTTGATGACCTGAACCTTAGGCTTGAAACGAGTCGAAAGTTGATTCAGCACTTCGCCAACAAGGTGGGTGTGATTCAGAGCCTTACGCATTTTCATAATTCTGACTATAGCTGCCTGTATAAGAATTTTACGATCCTCTTCAATGTGTTTGTGAGTTGCTTCCTGCTCCACCTTCAGTTCCGTTTTCAATGGGAAGTTGATGTTAATTCGAAGTTTTTTGCTACAATAGTATAAAAAAGGTCAGTATAACTATATTCATGCATATATTCCACCAATAATATACTTTTTGAATCCTGTGTTCAGATCAACTGTGGAAGCTGGCTGAAGGTTGGCTTCGTCGTCGTAAGATGTTAAGAGTTTCGTCTTAAGCAGAATCTGCAGTACCTGAACCAAATTCTCGTGATTGATGCCTGTAATAAACGATAAAATCAAAGTTCGAAGCCATTGTTCAAAAAATGTATTTATGCATATTTGGTAGGTCAGTTCTGTAATCATAATAGCCAGAACAATTTTTTTCCGGGACATTGTAATTTGGTAAGAATCATTACCGAGACCTGCTCCAAAACCTGCATGGTCTAATGCACGAATACGACAGTTGAAGCGTGTGAGATCGAAGGCTTTTCGCAAATACACCCAGTGCCGTAATCCATTCACCAAGCGATTATTTTCGTTAACAAGTAATGACTATCGAATGTACAACCGTTTTTTATACAAGAAGTATGCAGACTAATCTCCGGCGTAATCCTAAGCAATTCTGGACGTTTGTGAAGACAAAAAGTAAAGAGTATGGGCTACCGGTTGAAATTCATCTAAGCGATAACACTTCTTTAGAAAAATGTTACCTCCAGAGCAGAGCACTTCAAGAGTGTTTTCAACAACCCACAGGCGTTAATCCAAGTTGGTTAAGGGATCAGAGATGCGTTTACGATCGAGGAGTTTCCTGCATCTTGGACCCCGCGCAGTTAATTACGGGTTACATGATCCAATATGATTCATGGCTGCACGTTTCAAGAATTCTATGCATTCGGATTCAACGTAGTCTGCTAGATAGGTAGGTGACGATACGGATCGACACAACCTTCAAATTTTATTATTATTATTATTACCAAACCTTTTATTATTATTATTCGGTGTTTTTTTATAATTGTTCTGTTTTGTGTCCTTTTTGGTATTGTTCCTTGATGAAAAGATATGGGTTTTTTACGCAAATATTTGCCAAATAGGCTTTTCCCCATTAATCTTTATTTAGACAACAAAAGTCTAATAAAGAAATTAATTAATAGCCATCAAACCGGAGAGGGGCTACTTAGGACATGTGATACATTTTGTTTTGTTTTGCTTATTAAATTGACAAAATAACCTCCATCCGAAACCAAATCTGTACAAAATTCAATTCTATTGCATGACATTACTGTGAACAATTTTCATATGGAATATCATGCACTATCCGGTATTACGAATGCTTATCGGCTCCCGAGGACCGAGTGTTTTTACAAGTTTTTTTTGGGCCAAATTTTTGAGAAGGTACACTTTTTATAAAACTCGTTGGTTAACTTTTCAGTATAGTTCTGAAAAGCACTTAATGATATTTGCTGAGGATTTTATATGATTGAGTATACTGCAGTTCCAGTAGCAAATTGTGGATAAACATTCAATCGATTCTTTAATCTACTTCATTTGGTTCAACAAATTTTACTGTGTCCAAAGTACAAAGTAAGAATCAAAAGTAGCCCCTGACAACGGTAATAGTTAATCATTAATGGGTAAAAAAAAATACACTCTGAATGGTGATACGATACGTAATTATCGTTCTATGCAAGCACATCAAACTTCAAGCTAAATGGGCCACATTTGCCATATGTAATAACATTGTTCCAATCAAACCTACCTGTATTCTCACTTAACTGTTGAACAGTCCACGATTCTTGTTCGTTGAATTGAAGTAAAACAGCCATCTGGAAAGTGCTAGCCTAAAATGAGTTATTTCATAAATGTTACTTCCAAATGTTAAATATTCAAAATCTGATTAACTATGCGTTCGTACCTGCAGGGTGTACCTCATTCGAAAACTGCTCGTTATCAGTTCACCACGACACATATTGTACAGCCAATTGAGCTTGCGTCCGGAATGTTGTTTTGCATAGAAGTTGTTAAATCGATGAACAGATTGTTCCAGCTGAAAATTGTAATCGAATGATGTTTGCATGTATTTTACAGACAAGGGTCACCTATTATTACGCACCTCAAATGGAAGAGAAAACGTAAAGCTCTGATTGAACGGCCACGAACCGCTGGATAGAACCAGTATACTGAAGTCGATCTCATTTCCTGTAGATCTAGATGCGTCCCGCAGTCCCTTGACATGTTGTCGGTACTGTTCGTTGAGATCCTTCGAAACTCCAATATCTTGGAACATTCGCTGTAGCTTGCTGGTATACTCGAAGCCACAGGCTTGCTTCAGTTTGGAAATCATGGACGCTTCAGCGTCGTCACTAGCGGACATGTGATGACACAGACGCTTGGCCAGCATCTTACTGTAGAACTTCTGGAACACGTCCTTATCCTCGATGTATTTGAAAACGACCATCTGTAAATTAGGAAGGTATTATTCATACGCTCTACTATTGACTATTGTTATAAGCTCAAGATTAGTTTTACTCACCACTTGATTCAGGGTGTCCTCTAGTTCGGCTTCCTCTGGATTCTTACTGGACTTCTTCAACAACAGATCACAGTACTTGGCCAAAAGTTCTGGGCTTTTGCTAGCACTCTTGCTTGCCTCAGTAACTGCATTTGTGTTGATGAATTTACCGCATGCCTTATCCAGTGCAGCTACAAAGCCGCTGTCATTGTTGAATGCCGTAAGTACCAGAGCGTTGTACTTCTTGTGAACTTCCAAAATGGTTTGGACGTAGATTTTGGGATCCTTTGGAATAGACAAATTTAATATAATTGAACGAGATTCTAAAACACACCAGTTATTACATTTAACGCAGCTTCGCCACACTTGGCAATCGCAGCCAGTCCTTGATTATGAATGTGAGTTTCGAGGATTGCTTTCAATTCTACCAGTCCCTCTACTATGCGTGCCACAAGCGAATACATGCGACGCAGATCAGAATTTTTGTCGGAGTCAAGCAAGTTCTGGAACTCGGTGCGGAACTGTTCCAAGTGTTTCTGAATCAGTACACGTTCGCACGTTTTGGCCAATCTGTCCTGCGTACTCTCATGTAAGTACACCTGCACACGTTTCTGTTCTTCGTTCAATCGCAGTTCCACACGCTTCATGTACTCAGTGACGGGATTCTCTCTCAAGAATTCCGCACTTTCGCGGGTGTAAAACCTGATGAGTAACCAAAATTAGTATTACCATTAATTAGACATTTTCCATTCAACTTACATTTCGGTATCTTCCAAGAAGATATTCTCGAAGCTTTCCTTGTACACTGATAGATTCTGTCCCTTGGCATTGGGATCCTCTTCGTTAAGTCCCAGTTCGACATAGCAGTTGATCACACCGGATACCAAACGTGAGTTGATCGTTTCGCCATTGCGTTCCCGTTCGATCAGCTTCAAGACAGCGTTGGTAACCTGCTTGTTCAGCTGTTTGAACAAATTTCCACGCCACGTTACAAGCGCGAGTTGGTAGATCTCATAAACATCCTTGCGACCTTCCTCACACTCACGTTTCACCCAATGTCGATTGAGGTAGGCACATACGCCGTTCAATACTTTGCTCGAGAATTGGTATTCTTCCCATCGTTTCGTGTAGAAGCTTAGTACTTCCTCGTCCATAAGATCGATACCATTCTCCTGAAGCTTAATCAGGTAGCATTCGAGAAATTCCTTCAATCGCTTGTACAACTCCTGTCCCACAAGCTGAGCTCCACCTGCACACAATTCAACAACACCATAAGATTTGATATACGCGTGGATTAATCATTAATTGATACTTACCGGAAGGAATAGCCGTTCCCTTCTTAGAAACCTTGGACGAAGTTTGCCGGTTAGCCGGCTGTTGATGAACGCTTGTACAATAGTTGTAGACATGACTGTTGATAAATGGTAAATAAGAAAAAAGTAATACTAAAATTAGACGAGTCTTCGCATAGTATACCTAATACCAAATCAATTGGTCAAGTGCCAACAAATCGTCTGTTAGTTAGATGACTTGTTTCGTCTGTGCGTCCGATTAGATAATAATTGTCGTTTGATTGTTTCCTCTCTTGACTCGATTTTCAGATTGGCCTTTTTACATACGTTACACGTAATTTATTGATTGGAATTGAGAAATTTATTCAATCTCTGTAATCTTAAATAAATCACGTGTACATTGAATGTCCTATTTTGCTTTATCTTAGTGAACGGCTGCCTATGAAATCATCAAATTGTTGTAGTATCTCACGACTAACACATACACCAAAATAACTACAAGTTAAATTTCATAAGATTTGTACCCGTAAAAAACGGGACACACGAAAGGTTAAATAAAAATTATACGAATTATTTCAATGAATCTAGTTTTATTCTGTCAATTAACATATCAAATAATCAAATACACACACAATTTAGGGATGTTGACTATTGATGTAAAATATGTATGTAGGTGAAAAAAAACCAAAATCCGCGTTAAAAAAAACCGCGTAAATTCCGAAATCCGCGTAAAAAAACCGTGTAAATTCCGAAATCCACGTAAAAAAAACCGCGTAAAAAGCGACTCCAGTGTACAAGCACATGAAGCCCCACCCGCGAGTTTTTGTATACCACTTTTTTACCTTCAAACACGTTATTCTAAACTTCTTAATATCAGAAATATTTTAAACCTCTTGAAAAATGATACGCGTCCCAAAACTATAGTTACATTTTATTCGGAAACCACTCAAAACTCCAATTATTTTGGCTTTGAATGAATTTAAGCCATGGTGCGTATAGTCGCTATATTTACAGTATGGCGGATAGAAATGCGATCTATTAAAAAGCGGAACCTATTCAATATATTGTAGACCAACAATTGAAAAGGTACTACCGTGGACCCCCGTTAGTCTGAACGGCACTTCATGCATATTAAACGGGTTCATTTTTAATTTGCACTTCTAGTAACCCTATAAGCATCAGCAATTTGTTTCTGGTAAACTTATTTTCTGTTTTGTTTTAATTTTACGTTCCGTTTCGCATCGTCCCATTTCGCTTTCCTCCATCCCATATGCTGAATGATGTCTGAGCAATTTTTAGTTTGCACAGCGTGCATATTAGCAGGGTTCAAATTAAATAGTGTGCACACTTAATTAAAAACGGTCAGATTACCGGGGGTCCACGGGATCAGCTTTTATAAAAGACAACTTTGATACTTCTTTCCACACCAACCGAACGCAAATTATCAGCATCATCGCATAGAGGAAACATTCCCCAACCCGATGATGGTGTTGGTTTGCGTAGACGAGTCTTGATTTATGAGAAAATGGTCTCCGAAGTTTTGTTCGCAAAAGCCGATGTACTCTTTTCTATTGTTGGTGCTCGATTGGTCCGTTATTTGACATTTTTCAACTAAAACAAATAATTTTCATTTAACGTTCAATCATAAAGTTTAGTTCTGAACTTCTGATTTAATTTTACACGTTGGCCTGCCAATATACCGTATGCGTGATAATGTTTGCACCATCGTACAAATAAGGTTCTCGTTTCACCTGTGCATACAATGCCTTGGTTTTCTTTACATGCACGTAACCTATAGCTCATACCGTAGTAGGCTGTGTATAAAAGAAAATGATTTACTTAGTTTGACAGTTGCACCATGACGAAGTGGCAGCGTATTCGTGATTTGTCCCACGCGCAAATGTCGCAAAAAGATATTTCAATCGCCGTGGGAGCGTCCCGGTGGACCGTCATAAGGGTTTTAGATTGAGAAAAGAAAGGACAAGTGGGACAACTATCCGCGAAGGTGGCCACAGGTCGTCTGCGGTCAGCTCGGGTTCCGAGAGTTATCGCTGCTTCAAAAGGAAGATTCGGGTGAATCCAGTGCGTTCAATAAGGAAAATGGCAAAGGAACACGGGATCAGTGACTTTACGGCACGGAAGATCGTAAAGGAAGATTGCGGAGCGAAGTTGAGGGCACGGAAAAAAAGTCACATGATTAAGCGAAAAAATCCGGTAATCCTGTTCACTGACGAGAGCATGTTCACTGTCGATCTCACATCAAATTCCAGAACCGACCGGTATATTAGTTCTCTTCCGGTAAAAGACGTGGCCGACGAGCACAAGAACGTGTATCTGACCAAGCATCCTGCTACACAGCAAAAAAAGTAATTTTGATATCACGTCAAAGTGGATGCACTACAATCATGTCGAAAATATGGTGTAATATTACTTGCTAAAAAGGATAAAATTATCATTAATACAATGCATGAGCTGACATTACTTTTTGAATTGGTTGTCATAGAGTCCCTAAATGCGCATTGCAGACAATATCTAAGTACAGATCAACACGGATTCATAACTGGGCGTTCCACAACTACGAACCTGCTGTGCCTAACGTCTTACATCACAGACAGTTTGATTGCTCGGACCCAAACGGACGTTATCTACACAGATCTTACGGCAGCCTTCGATAAGCTGAACCACGAAATTGCGATCGCTAAGCTTGATAGGCTAGGGATCGTTGGAAATCTTTTGAGATGGTTTCGTTCATACCTCACGGAGCGCCAATTGAGAGTAACTTTGGGTACTTGTCGCTCAGCAAGCTTTTGCGCAAAGTCCGGTATACCTCAGGGCAGCCATCTGGGACCATTGGTATTTCTCCTCTACTTCGACGATGTTCACCATGTTATCACAGAGCCACGATTATCGTTTGCAGACGATCTGAAAGTTTTTCTGCGCATCCGCTCACTCGCCGACTGCCGTTCTCTCCAAAATCAGATTGACATCTTTGCTGACTGGTGTAGTCTAAACCGACTGGTGGTCAACCCAGCTAAGTGTACAGTTATTACTTTCTCACGCAAGAAACAACCGATTATTTTCAACTACAAACTACTAGGCACGACTATCGAACGGGTGCACTGCGTGAAAGACTTAGGCGTTTTTCTAGACTCAAAGCTGACATACTCACACCATATATCGTATGTCGTCGACAAAGCGTCCAGAACGCTTGGCTTTGTCTTCAAGATTACTAAGAAATTCACGGACATTTACTGCTTGAAATCGCTCTATTGCTCTCTCGTACGATCTACGTTGGAATACTGCTCTGCTGTCTGGAGCCCGAACTACAATAATGGGGCCGAGCGAATTGAATCTGTTCAACGACGTTTTCTTCGCTTCGCGCTCCGTAAGCTGCCTTGGAGATACCCACTTCGTCTTCCAAGCTACGAGAATCGCTGCCAATTGATCAATATCGAGCCCTTACGTATCCGAAGAGATGTTTTCAGAGCCTTAACCGTCGCCGATACTCTGCAAGGAAGAATTGACTGCGAAGCAATTCTGCAACAAGTGAACATTAATGTTCAACCTCGATCACTACGCAACAGTCTTATGCTGAGACTTCCACTTCTTCGAACTAATTATAGCATAGGGAGCGCTATTTACGGCTTGCAGCTAGTGTTCAACCGAGTAGCGTCGATGTTCGATTTCCACTTGACACGGAATATGCTTCGCCGAAGATTCTCTGCCTTTTTTGCTGACCGAAGGCGCTTGATACCCAACAGCTAAGTGTAAAATTTAAGACTTATAAATTTTTAGTAACTTGACAATGCTTTCCAAGTTATTTTCGTTTGTAACTGTAGTAACTGTAGTATATGTATGTCGTCTGTATAATCTGTACTTTTTTACAACACATCATTGGGACTATTTCTAGTCTGTTGATGCAACCATAACAAATAAACAAATAAACAAATTACGCTGCTTTTACTGCATTTGTTTATTTATGTGGTCATAAAAATTACATGAAATTTTCGACATGATTGTAGTGCATCCACTTTGATGTGATATCAAAATTATTTTTTTGCTGTGTAGCGTTATGGTGTTTGGATTGGTGGCTTCCGATGGCAAAAAATGGACCCGGTGTTCATTCCAGAAGGCGACAAGGTCAACACGGAGGTGTGCTATGCATCTTCCCAATGCAATAAATTAGCAGAACACTATTCACAATTCATGTTACAAATATTAACGTCACTACTCATTTCATTTTGAACCATAAGCAAACCGAAATGCAACGGAGAGAGGTAGGTCAGGAAAGCATGTGTGGTACGAATGCATGAATGCGAACGACCCAAACACTTGTCTTGCTGACTCTAACATTTTTCCTACGCCGGTACATAGCAGAGGTCTCGTGTATGCGGACCCAGTAAGGAAACGAAAAGTGTCAAATAGCAAAACATTATCGATGGATGCGTAGAATGTAAAATAACCAAAATGTTCAATGTTTGTCAACAACTTCCCAGGCGTCTCGTTCTTTCTCGTTTTAACTCACTAGTTTAAGGAAAATGCAATGTAAGAACTTTGTAAACTCTGAAGCCGTTTCGGCTATATAAACCCTGTAAGTTGAATGAAATAAAGGCTTTTTCGACAAGCATCGACAAGGAACGAATGTGCTCTATTACTAGATACCACATACCCAACTTGACCAAACCGATGCGCCCTGGTGCTACCACTGGTCACCAGCAACCGCAGTTTGGTTGAATTGGTCTAGGAAGTCCCCTAGCCAAATCCTTGCACGACGCAAGTTCCCTAATGTATAGTGTGGCATGGAATAGAGGTCTACATCGGGATTTTAAGTAAGTATGTTCTTCCGTGGATCAAAGAACAGTACGGCCCGAAGCCAAATGTTGTATTTCAACAAGATGGGGCTCCGTGCCACACCTCGAACTGCACTCAGAAGTGGTTGCAGGAACATCTTCCGTTCTGGGCGAAGGATATGTGACCGCCATCCAGCTCGATCTTAATCCGCTGGATTACTCAATATGGCGCGTCATGAAGGTCAAGGCCTGTTCTAGATGCCACCCGAGTACAGCAAGCCTCAGACAAACATTGACCCGTACCTTGAGATAAATTGATCCAGACTACA